TGGTAAAGATGTCCGCTAGTTGCAGTCTAGCTGGAATATGTCGGACCACCAATGACCCTAAAGCAACTCTTTCTCTAACATAGTGATAATCAGTTTCGAAGTGTTTGGTTCTCTTGTACAACGCTGGATTAGCGGTTAAATAGACAGATGATAGGTTGTCTCCAAACAACTCCGGAGTCAAAGGAAGAGATATGCCTAGTTCCTTTAGAAGATGACTTAGCCATGCCAATTCAGATGCAGTTTCGGACAGTGATCTGTATTCCGCTTCTGTAGAACTCTTGGACACTGTGGGTTGCTTTTTCGAGGACCATGATATCAAGTTTTGGCCAAGAAAAGTACAGTAACCTCCTGTGGAGCGTCGAGTAGATGAACACCCAGCCCAATCACTGTCACTATATGCTCTCAAAGTGCAATCAGTGTCATTCAAAAACGAAAGCCCCATTGACACGGTACCTTTCAAGTATCGCAGAATTCTCTTGAGATTCAGGAAGTCTGAGACCGCAGGTGCGTGCATCCTTTGACACACGTAATTGACAGCAAATTGTATGTCTGGACGTGTCAACGTAAGGTATTGCAGCTTCCCGGCCAAGCTTCTGAAGTAGTGCGGATCTGAGAACAGAGTTTCTTGGTCGGGAACTTTGTTGAGTTGCAAAGGAAGCGGAGTGTTAACTGGTGAGCTATCTTCCATTCCAGCAGCAGTGAGAATATCAATGGCATATTGCTCTTGAGAAAGAAAAAGTCCCTTGTTGTGAAACATAGCCTGAATCCCGAGAAAATAATGTAATTTCCCAAGATCTTTCATCATGAACTTCGAGTTTAACTCTTCAAGTAGTTTTGTAAGAGTGATCGAGCTATTTCCTGTGATAGCCATGTCATCTATGTAGAGGAGAGGCATTATAATGTTCCCATCATGTGAGTAGATGAACAAAGAAGAATCCTTGACGCTACACACAAAGCCAAACTCTATGAGGAAATCACTGAACTTGTTGAACCAGGCACGTGGGGATTGTTTTAATCTGTACAAGGATTTATGCAAAAGACAGACGTGATCGGGTTTGGTTTAATCTATGAATCCCGAAGGTTGCCTCATGTACATTTTTTCCTTCAGATATCCGTGCAAAAACGCATTTTTCACGTCCATTTGCTTCACTTCCCATCTCATAATAGTAGCCAAGTGAAGAACGGTTCTGACTGTAGCTGTTTGGACCACTGGGCTATAGGTCTCCAAATAATCTATTCCTTCTTCCTGACTGTTACCTTGTGCCACTAATCTCGCTCTTGGGTTTCCCACAGTGCCGTCAGCATTGAGTTTATTTCTGTATATCCATCTATTACCCAGAACATGCATCTCTGGAGTACGAGGAACTAGAGACCAGGTCTTTGTAGCTACACAAGTTCTTATCTCCTCATTCATAGCCCCATTCCATCTTGGATCCTTTAGAGCTGCAGCCACAGTTGTTGGTGTAATGTTCGCTGTTCTGTGTGTCAGCAGGGCATACTTAGGATTTGGTTTACGTATTCCTGCTTTCGAACTTGTTATTATATGATGTTGAGATGTTGATGCAGGAACATTACTCTGGTCAGATAATAAACTGTTCTTCTGACTTGTGTTAGACTCTTCTATCATTGATGTTCTCTCACTTGGTCCAGCCCCTGTTGAATCGCTATGAACAATAGATGTCGTAGACAGTGTAGGAATCTGAACTCTGGATGAGACTACCTGTTCATCTGTGTGACCCGGAGCAGTACAACCTTCTGAAGTTCTTGGTAAGAAGCTTCTTTGCCACGCTTCTAATGAAGGAGTTACAGCTTGGGTATGAGAGTTTTTATATATTGTTGCAAAAGGGTAACTCATTTCATCAAAGAGCGCATGTCTTGTGATATATACACGTCCTGTTGGAAGGTATAAGCACCGGTATCCTTTGTATCTATCATTGTATCCCAAGAAAACACAGTGAAGTGATTTAGGATCAAACTTCTTTGCTTGGTATTCTCTGAGCATCGGATAACAGGAGCACCCAAAAGACCTCAACGCTGAGTAGTCTGGAGTCTTTCCGTGTAAAACTTCAAAGGGGCTTCTTCTGTCTTCGAATACTGAGGAAGGAAGCAAATTACTTAGAAAATTTGAGGTGTAAAATGCATCTACCCAATATTTCTGAGGTATTTTCCCTTGAAACATCATAGTAAGTCCCAATTCTGTGATGTGTCTGTGTCTTCTCTCGGCTAATCCGTTTTGTTGTGGTGTGTAGGGGCAAGAAATCAGCTGCTGTATACCACACTCTTTCAAATGGTCCAGGAACTTGTTGCTCATGAACTCACCACCTCCGTCACATTGAAACATACTGATCTTAGTAGACAACTGATTTTCAACCAACTTCTGAAACATGATGAATGTGTTGTAAAAATCTGATTTGGCTTTTAGCGGATACAACTAGCAAAACCGAGAAATTTATCCACAAATATAACATAGAACCGGAATCCTTGATTTGAAGTAACAGGAGAAGGACCCCAGAGATCACAATGGACTCTCTCTAGAGGTCTTGACGCAACAAACTTAGAAGCAACAAAAGGTAAACGACTACTTTTCCCTAGTTGACATGACTCACACATCTTCAAGGTACTTTTATTGACTGCAATGAACTTGTTTTGACTTAGGAACTTCAGAACTTGCTCATGAGGATGGCCCAATCTCCTATGCCACACTTCATCACTCGTTGAAATTTGTCTGGTAGAGTAGAAGACTTGTGGTTGAGGAGACTTCATGCTATAGAGACCATCACGGGTGTTTCCTTGTCTCAGGACACTTTTGGTTTGCTTGTCCTTAACACACACCCGGTTATTGTCAAATTCAAAAGAGCATGGATAATCACTAGTAAGTTTAGACACAGATAGTAATGATTTAGTGATCCCCGGACACACTAACACATCCTTTAAAGGCAGAGACGTACCTGAGGAAGAGGCTATGTCTGCATTACCCACATGTGTAATCGGCAAGAAGTTACCATCCCCAAGCATCACTGCATCGTTCCCTCTGTAGGGTTGAGTGTAGGCAAGGTGTTGAGGAGAGTTCGTGATGTGAGAAGTTGCTCCTGAGTCTGCAAACCACTCAGCTCCAGAATAATCTGAAACATCAGTTACACGCATAGCAGCCAAAGCTGCTGGACCTTCTTCTTCTTGATAGCTGTTGTTGAACCTGTGCCAGCATCTCAATGCTGTATGACCGAACCTCCCACAAATCTGACAAGTTGGTCTGTCATCTGAAGACACTGACGAAGCAGAGGAGCCAGTCTGAGACACTGAAGATGATAGCTGTTGATGAAAACCTCTACCTCTAGTAGAGAAACTGCCACGTCCTCTGTTCGAACCAAACCTTCTATTGGACTGGCCTCTACCTCTGGCGTTATTGTAGTTGGTCTGAAAGTGACCTCTTTGAGTGTTGAAAGCCATATGTGGTGACACATCAGATGGAACATTGTACCTTTGAATACGAGCATCATAGCTATGAAGGCGAGGAACCAGATCTTCAAGTGTAGGGTTTGTCAACATGTCTACTGTCCCTTCGATGCTGGTTATAAGCGGCTCATAGTCTTTTCCTAGACCTTGTAAGGCGGAAAATATCTTCATTGTCTCAGAAACCGGACTGCCAATAGAAGTCAGTTGGTCACAGATGTGCTTGATGTCCGTGAGATAGTATGTCATGGTCTTTCTTGGTAACTGTCTGAAGTTTTCTCTGAAGCTCAAACAAACGTGAAGAGGTTGGACGGTTGTAGTGTCTTCCTAGAGTGACCCAGATCTCATGAGAAGTGTTACAGGATACCACCAGACTCTGTATATCTTCAGCAAAAGATCCCAAAAGCCAAGATTTGATAACCTGATCTGTTTGAAACCAAGTGTGATGGTCAGGGTTTGTCACTGAAGTGGTTGTGCCGTTGATACCTGGAACAGACAACGTCGGAGGAGGCTGTGCTATCTCGCCGGTGACGAACCCTAGAAGCCATTGCCCATTCAGAAAAGCTTCAAACTGATTCTTCCATGGTAAGTAATTTCTCTCAGTGAGCTTTACAGTAACAGAGTTAACTATCTTGAGTGAAGGAGGATTATAGAGTTCAATAGCTTCCATGGTGCTCTGATACCATGAAATTTGAAGAAAAACGTTTCTGAAACTTGATTTTATTTCTTGTTTTCTTAACCTTGTACAGAGTTTGATTACAAAACTTATATAGAAAGATATGGAAGCCCTAGGTCTGTGTTGACGTGTCTTCATCCTCTTTCTTCCAAAGATCTGAGGGCTTCAAATGAGTTGTACAATGCAGGACCACCACACTGTTTCGTACAAACCATCGCTATCTGTTTTCCCTTTCTCTTCTCTTCATTACTTCTTTCTTTGTCGTCAAGTGTTAGAGCCGTTGGGGAAGTCTGTTGACTGAGTTGTGACTGGGCCTGTTTGGGCTTGTCCGTGTGGGCTTTATTTGGTTCAGTCTCAGTCATCTTCTTCACTAAAACAGGGTCGTTTTGTGACTTGTCAATATATGTTTGTTGTGTTAGTAGTTGCTATCGTGTCATGTGGTAGAATTTAGGGTCTAAGAGATGAGTCTCACTTTGAGTCTTGGAGTGAGATCATTCTCGCCGTGGTCGAATATACAATGGTGTTGGGTTGTGTAGCGTTGAATCCAAATTAGTGATTCAGGATATCACTAGACCGCGCCATTGTATATGTGGTCAAATTCTGTAGAGTAGCTTTGAATTGGTGAATGAAAGTATGATGTTCTAAGACAAGCAAACACTGTTTCAGTGGGTCAGCTGGGAGTACAAGCTTTTTTTTCATTTCGATTATGTGGTTAAATATTGTTTCAGTGGTCCACTGGGAATGGAAAATGAGGAAAGATATGATTCTGATCTCACTCCACTAATCAGCTTTACTGAGGAAGTCCATAATTTTCATTAATTCAGTTAGTTAGGAATAAAACATAACTAGATCCTTGCTTTGTACTGTATGAACTATGTCTGGTTTTGGATATAGGAATGTGGTTGTAGAAACAGATTCGTTGGGGTTAAGTGGGATGATACATGGAGAAGAAGAAATCTGGCTTATCCTACAACCTATCATACACGACAAAATCCATATGCTGAAGGCAAATCTGGGGTTCAATGTGGTTTTTTATCATAGAGATGGTAACAAGGTAGCATAAAGGATAGCACAGAAGACTTTTTTTTTTGAATTATGTTCCTAAGTTGTATTCTGTTACACCTTTGTGGCTGAAAGATGTTGTAGAGGCTGATATGCCTATGGAGACATTGTAATGGGTTAATGGAAAGTTGAAGTTGAGTTAAAAAAAGAAAAGAAAAAAAGATCCATGCTTTGTGCAAAATTCGGACAAACTTCGTGTGGATGCAAACAAAGACAATCATCTCAGTCAGCACAAAAGTGAGCAAGCCTTCCAGTCCGGTTCAGTACGGTTTAGATGTTTTCATGGTTAGGCCGTTAATTTTATTGTCGAGATCTAAATCTGATCTCTCACTCCACTAAAATAATATTCAGCTTTACTGATAAAATATAAACACATTAGGTTAGGTAGTCACTGGTCGAATCAATGGCTTGCCTGCCCCTCCATCTCATACCCGTTATAAAACGTAGATATTTTCTATTTTATTTAATTAGGATAGTATGTAAAAGACCATTAAACCATATGAAAGTCACCTATTTACGAGTTGTACCTAATTGTACTGAAATTCAATTTGATCTAATTCAAACCGCGACAAAAAAAGAAACCCAAAACAAAAATCGAAGGAAACCTAGACCGACTCCCCATTCCGGATTAATAAAACTCTAATTTTGGATTTTAAAAAAATCAAACTTCCCCGTTGCAAAAAAGAAAAAAATTCTCTTGTTCTTCCATTTCCTTGTTTTTTCCGAAATCCTTTATGAACTTCAAGAGTCCAATTCCTTCCTCCCCTCTCTTCCATTTCTTGGTCGTGGAAGTCGATTTGTGTGCGAGAATCAAAAGAGTGAAAAGAGATGAAGGAGACGTCGGATAAGGGGTCGCAAGGGGGACCAGCAACGGCGACGGAGACAGATGGGGTAATCTTAGAGTCGATAAGTGTCTTCGTGGAAGCTGCGGTGGCAGTTATTTCTGGAGAGGAGAATGACAGTGAGGATGGTGTCCATGAGGATAAGGGTTCGGAAAGTGTAGTGGAAGGAGTTAAAGATGAGGACGAGAAGGAGGAAGACGACAACGAGGTAAAAAATAGGAGAATTCCCAAATTAGGATTGGATTTTGAATCCTAGTTTTTTTTTGAATTGGTCATATTTTTGTGAACTAGAAATAAGAATTATGGTGATGATGTGTCGAACCTGGAAATTATGATATAACTATGCATAATACTAGTACCACTCGGTGAAACATTGAGAATTTGTAAATTTAGTAATAGGTAAGTATACTAGAGAATACTATAGTAACTTTGAGAAAACTATTTGGTATTACTGGTATAAATGATGTAGAAGTAAATGTAATTTGCAGCATTTTGAGCCCATCGAAGCAATCAAAGAAGTGTGTTTCATTGTCGATAGTGTTCCCATGCGTTTGTGAAGGAAGGGCATAGGGGATCGAAGAGAAAGGGAAGAAGAAAGCAGGAGTTGTTTCATGTTTTGTTGATGTTTCGTGTCTGATTATTCTGCAAAACTCTATGCTTCTCGGTTTATAGAAGTTTAAAACTATAATTTTCTTGATGTTACAAATACAGTTCAATTTCAGTTTCAAATCCATTTTCGTGATTTTGCAAATTCATGTTATTGTGAATCACAAAATAAAGAAATGAAAGTTTGGAGTTTTACAAGTCTTAGACCACCACAAAATAAAGACTTGTAAACTTATCTGCTGAAGCAAAGAAATAGAAGACAAAACACTTAAACAAGTTCCGACAATACAAAACACTTAAAGATAGAATTCTTCAAACTTTCTAACAATCTCATCTTTATTTTCGTCATCCATGTGGGAACCGAAATTCACACTTGTCGATTTCCGTTAAATAAGGAAACTTAGGAAAACCCTAATTTTCCAGAGGAACCGGATCTCTGCGAAAGCCAACGACAAGTAACCAAATAAATGCGGAAAAATACGAAAGACGTAATAAAACGAATTTAAAGAAAAAGTAGATCTTATTTCGATTTCGCGTAAAAGCGTTGCGATCCTTACAAGGGTTTACAAAGGCTTTGGCCGCAAGGCCGTCAGCGAGTTATCAACATAAAAACCTTAAACCTAATCGAGTCGCAGCTCGATAACAAAAGACGGAAAAAGATAAGAAAAATGATTTGAATGATTTCGGACTGAACCTAATGAAAGGCTGCCTACGTACCCCTTTTGGAATCAAGTCGAACGTATTTCAGTTGATTGAGCTGCACAAGAGATCGAACTGCCTGGGCGAGTTCGTCTAGTGATTGAGCGCCAGTCATAGAAACCGAATTTGTCGAGAAAAAGCCTAAGTTTCTAAGTGCGGAAAATTCTAAGTCTAGAAAAGTTGTGAAAGTCTCACATAAGAGCTCTGGATTTCGTCCCCTTGCTTCTGCCCTATGCCTCTTGCTTATATACTCCCTTCCTAGGCGGTTTAGTCTTTCCATTTCGCCCAGATTCAAGTTTAATGGGAATCTTCCATTTATCTCGATCTTTCCTTTTTTCCCGCGGAAATCTTCTATTTATCCTCAAACTTGACATTTATCTTCAAGTTTGACATTTATCTTCTTTTTGCGAGTAAATCGCCAAAACGTCGTCGTATCTTCGGGTTGGACTTCGTTTAAAGTAGCGAGTGGCTTTTATCGCGTTTTATGACTTTCCGAGCCGTTTTGCGATAAATCCGTTTTACGACTTTAGACGAGATCGTTTCCTGATACGATGCCGTTTTTAGATAAGTTTCTCGAGTTAATCGTAAAGCTAAGCAATGTTCGATGTTTCGATTAATCGTTGCCGTTTTCTACCATTTATTCGGGGTTTTATTAAAAACGCGTTTTGTACGATTTTTACGAAAAATCTCGAATAAATCGTATAGTTTAGGCAATATTCAGTGTTTCGTTTAACCGTTGCCGTTTTATACGATTTCCTTGAGTTCTTTTCGAGAAAACAAAGTTTTACGGTTTTTATCGTAAAACTCGAACGATAGGACGGATCGAGACGAAACGGGAGACATTTGGACCGTGATTCGGAATACGATCGTGTCGAATGACGTATGCCTTGAATCAAGGATGTGGGAGATCAAGGCTCGGGATTGTCGGCTCAACGTACGGCGAGCTAGTTCAGCTTGGCCAGGTCGCCAGCAAGCGAACTAGGCGATAAGAACCAGTGGGGCAAAGTCAGCACCTCATAGTTTGCCGTTGGGGAGTCTCTAGTTCGCCAACAGGCGAACTAGTCGGGAAGCTTCTAGTTCACCAGCAGGCGAACTAGTCGTGACTAGTTCGCGTTCTGCGGCGGTTTCGGTTTTTCACGGTTTTGTAAAACGATCCTCGAGTTTTATAAAACGATCCTCGAGTTTTATAAAACGATCCTCGAGTTTTATAAAAAGATCTTCGAGTTTTATAAAACGGCTTCTCGAATTTTATAAAACGATCCTCGAGTTTTATAAAACGATCTTCGAGTTTTATAAAACGGCTTCTCGAGTTTTATAAAACGATCTTCGAGTTTTATAAAATGGCTTCTCGAGTTTTATAAAATGATCTTCGAGTTTTATAGAACGGCTTCTCGAGTTTTATAAAACGATCTTCGAGTTTTATAAAACGATCTTCGAGTTTTATAAAATGGCTTCTCGAGCTTTATAAAACGATCCTCGAGTTTTATAAAACGATCTTCGAGTTTTATAAAACGGCTTCTCGACTTTTATAAAACGATTCTCGAGTTTTATAAAACGATTCTCGAGTTTTATAAAATGATTCTCGAGTTTTATAAAACGATTCTCGAGTATTATAAAACGATTCTTCGAGTTTTATAAAACGATTCTCGAGTCTTATAAAACTATTCTTCGAGTTTTATAAAACGATTCTCGAGTTTTATAAAACGATTCTTCGAGTTTTATAAAACGATTCTCGAGTTTTATAAAACGATTCCGTTGTGACGGATTTTGACACCAACAGTTAGCCCCCAAGCTCGCTAGAATCTTGAGCCTTTAGCGTATGGTTCTTGCGAGTGGTTAGCCAGTTTTAGTTAAGTTAGGCGGAATTAATGGTTGGAAAGGTCCATTGAAAGTGATCTTTCCACTCTTTAGGGAGCGGAAAGCGTTTTAGATTAGGGCTGCGCCTTATGAAGGCTGCCTACGTACCCTTTTGAGGGGATTAAGCCTTTTGTAGTTCGTTTCGGAGTTAAGGTTCGTATGACCTGTTTCCTGGCAAGACCTTTACGGTCTAGTTATATGTTGTGTAGAAATTATCGAGCATATTGATGTCGATGGCATCTGGACCTTTGCCGGCCTTGAGACTAGCCTCGTAGGCAGTTTGGTCTGGCCGAGCGTGGCTGTTATATTTTTCGGACTGGCCGTGTGCGGCTCTGAGTCCCTGCCGCTTTTGCGGCTTTATTAAAAATCAGTTTGCATTTTTAAGAGCGTGTTTTTATTCGTATGGATGTAGCGGGAAGAATATGAGTTGATATTGAGGGAGGTCCGCGAGTTGTCGTCTCGCATTCCTTTTTCCCTTAGTGTATCGCCTTGTTCGTTTACTCGTTTTAGGATGTTTAGTAAATCGAGTGAGTGTTTAGATATAGACGAAGAGACATGCCTTTAGGATCTCGATTCATGCCTTGAGACGTTAGCGACCAGTGTGCTGGGTTTAGGGTAAGACCTAGGTTTACTTTCGGATTGAGGCTATGCGATGACTATCCGGCTTTCGTTTTGCCTGTTGCGATTTTAACCTAATTCCATACCGATTTAAAATCCGCGATAGGTTCTCGGCTTATACGATTCGTCTGGTTGGAACCGAGCATCTCACAGGGAAAAATTGCTAAGTTGCCCGGAAGTGCTGACCAAAAGTTTGGATTTCTTTTATAGCGCTATTACTCTTGTGTCGGGTGTTCGAGAGCTATCTCTGTGAGATAACTTAAGTTTGTTTAGGACTGTTGCGAGTTCGTTGTGATTAGCAATGAACTATTTTAAGTGATAGATGATTATGTAGTTTGGGCCTTCGCGAAGGATACGTACGTTAAGAAGTTTTGCGTATTTTATAGTCGCGGACGGACTGTTAGGCTTCCAAGAAAATGACTTTATCGAGGAAGGTATTTGTATCGAAAAACTAATCTCCGGGCGTCTGCGACGTCTCGCAGTGCCGAAAG